AAGATAAAAGCAACCAACAAATGTAACAAGGCACTTTCTGCATATAATATTTCAGTATTTAGTAATATAACGGTTTTGACAAGGAAGCCAGATGCAATTTAGAGGAGTCCTATTTTTACACAAGACTTAAACAGTTGGCCTCCAAATTCAGTGGGTGAGTACAAGAAAGATGATAGAAAGTCCCCTTCCAAAAAGGAAGGGTATATCAAGCCCATACATGATAGGCCAGTACTTTGGGATAGAAAAGGCACTAAATTAAAGTAAAAAATTACAAACCTCATTGAAAAGGTAGACACACATTTTTTCTATGAGGACAATTGGGATTTTGACTGCGAAGGCTTTGATGACAAAACACTTTCTATTTCATGGAAAGAAAGTTTTCTTAAGGAAACATTTCTGAACTCTGTGTAGCAACTGATAAAGTTCAAGGCACGTACAGTGAGAAAAAAAACAGGTTGAGCTGTACAGCAATTTGTAAAAAAGCATAAGATACCAAAACATCCAGGAAACAATGATAAAGTCTGTAATCAGCTACTTGGTTGATGCACTGTTTTGTCCTTGTACTGTTTATACATTGATAAAACAAACCGTTCTCTGTTTTAGCTTTAATGGCCAGAGATACTTACAGTATTTTACCCCTGCTTGCCTAAAGTGCAACTCTAAGTAATGTAACTGTTAAGCTGTCAAAAATTGTTGGATCGCAGTGGTCATCACCATGTGTGATATTCTCCCAGCCCTTACAAGCCCCTTATTGTTTAGCTCAAACTTCCTCCTTTACTATGAAGATGAATCGCAATTTCTTTTCCAGCACCTCTCCCCCAGCACAGAGGTATTGGTTTATATAGTGCAGACAAACCTCACCCTGGGCCACGACGCTTCTGTTACAATTTACAAATGGTGGGGAAAGGATTCAAATTCTGTTCAGTGAAAGACTGAGTTCACAGTTTTCTAATTACCACAGTACCAGATCAGGTGCTCGGGCAACTGCAACCCAACAGAACTTTGACATTACTAGATGTTGGCCTATAAAGTGATCCCTACTTTCAACACCAGCCAGATAAGTAAGCCATCCACTGAACACAACCCACAGAGACCCGTTTCAGTAGTTTGTTGAATATAGCTTAGCCATAACTTTGAAGCAAGCTGAACAGCAGCTCCTAGCTCTTCAGGCAGTGCAATTGTAAGCAGCTTGCTTTCTCCCATGCACCACTCCTGCACATGCAGAGAGAAGGTATGAGTTCTCCCTCTGACATCTCACAAGAAATACTGCCAATTTGACTGGACAAAAAGCTAACTAAACCAGAAGAGAAAGTTAATACAATTCAGTCATGTTTCCAGAAGAAGCCTGCAAAACCTGCTGACGATCACACTGACACCTCACATCTTCCCCCTTACACCTCCTTTCCAAGCCCTTCTGTTAATGAGACGCTGACAAGAAATATGTAAGACTGCTTTGAAGTAGGTCTGCACTCCCTTAACTGTGCCTTGTATATGAGCAAGAGAGCTCCTCTTCCTCTTGGATGTTTAGGTGGTCAACAGAAACTACTGACCCTCTTAGAACAATAGCTACCCTTGGACTGGGAGTTTCGTCTCACACATCCACTTACAATCACCCAGAAAACACTGAACTTGAAAGAGACCAAAGGAGTGCTCAGGCACAGTTACCCATCTGTGTAACTCACTGAACACAGACTCCCTTGTAGGAGTTCATTATCACTCACCAGCCTAACTTTCCTACATTAGTTTGTTACTAACAGTCAGCTTTCTTGCTGCTGAACTTCCTCTTCAATCTGCCCTTTATGTGAAGCCCTCACTTCAACATGTTCAGTGCAGCTGTTTGATTGCTCCCCTACCCTCTTCCATTTGCTTCAGGTTGCTCCTTCCTTGAATTTGTCATTATTTCTTAACACCATTGCTAGTCACACAATAAAACAAGAGATACTAATCATGTAAGACAGACTTGTTTCATCAAAATTACATTAAACCTTCAAGTGACTGTGAATAATCACAAGCCTCTCTTCAGATCTACTGAAGTTTTTTAAAGGAAAAGAAATCCAATCCACCTCTCTCAGGATCAGCATCTTTCAGAGCAGCATTTCTCCTCCTCCTCTCCCCTTTATTTTCCTCCCAGGCTTGGCTACAGGAAGGAACACCATGTCCATCCTTTTCTAATGAATCTCCGTCTAGTTTATTCAAAAATCTGTTCTTTAAAAAAAAAATAAATTCATTTATTTGTGCAGTCATTGTGTACACTTTGCTTCAGTACTTTTTAATGCAAAAGTAATACAGCAAGACAGCTACGATATTAAAAAAAAATTCCTTCATGTTAACCCTGTTAAATATACTTTAAAAATTGGTAAAATTGCATTGGAAGACAGGCATTTATACGTTTCAGCCATGTTTGTGGGGTAAACAGCAGCCATTTCTCTATACCTTCAACATATACAAGAAAGCATTTCTCTCACTTTTGAAGCATCAAAACAGTGACTAACACTTTCACAACACCCTAAGTTCTTTTCAAACTCTTTATCCCCTTTAAAGGTCAATATCGAAACCAGGAGACACAAGAAGACTGATGTTAAACAGATAGGGCAGTTACCAGCAAACATGCTTTGATGAATGTGACACAGAGAGGTACAACAAGGCCCTAGGAAGGGCCACACTAGTCTTCATCCATTTTCTCTATCTATGCACACAGAGGTGTAGAACGGGAAACAGACACCCAGAGGTATGGCAGGGACCAAAGATAACGGGGCCATTCAGACCTATGTTTACGCAAGGCAACACTCTATAACATCAGCTAGAACCCTATCTATAAAAACATGTGTTGCAGTAATTAGCTATATGATAAACTGCTACTTAAGTACCTGGGCTCAGCCTGTCAAGCCTAATCAAGAGCTGCAACTGAGTTACCGAGAACTAATTCGAAGAGTCAAAGTATCACTCAAAAAAAATAGTAAAAATTAGTTACATTTGAATTTTATCCAAATGACAAGGATCGTGTGGGTTTCTGCCCAGAGCTAACAGGAAGCATGACAGAGTTTGCAAAACAGACTGGCATGAGATTTTTTTTTTAGCAATATGGTATGCTAAGTTTACACCTAATTTGTCACTTCACATCAAGCTAAGTTCACTGAAAATGAAAGTAACAACAACCACCCAAAAAAAAAAAAATCAGCAAGAGAGTTATTTCCAAGGAGTACTTCAACACTGGGGGCTTTTTTTACATTATTAACTAATTTAATTTCACGTTATGCTTCATGCCTAAAGGTTGGTCTATAAATCACATTAAGCAAAGCAAATATCTCAGTGATATTCCTAATAGTTTGAAAAAAATTCTACAGAAAAAAAGTATTTTTCTAACAGTGCACTATAATTCTAGCAAGAAGAAACTAAAGAGGTAAAAGAAGAAACTCCTTCACATCCCACCTCTGGGAGTCAGAAGGTCTGGCACAAATATCTTAGGGGTTTGTGCAAGCTTGCTCTAAAAATCTTGGTCAAGTTAACAGGTGTTACACAGACTCCTCCCCAGTGGATAATCAACTACAGCAACAACTCCTGAATAGCATTATTTCACCACCACAAACCATTACTCCCAGAAACCCAGGACAGTGTCATTTACACTTCTTGTTGGGGAAAGATATGAAATGAGACATTTAATACTTCTTGTTTACTGCAATGCCTCCATACCACATGATCACCACTCTAGGGTTAATGTTTTATCACTGCAATGAAAGCTCTGATATTTAGGCAAAAAAAGGCATGGTAAAATATTTAGAAAGACACTCAATTTCTCATCTCCCTTTCCCGTTTCTAAATCAACTCAATTTGGTTTTTGGACAGCAGAAACTATGATAGGACGTTCAAAACACTTATAACTGTCTTTTCCCTATCCTGACCAGCCAACATGCCCACACGGCTTCCCACAGACTGCATGTCAAGCCACCGTGGAACTTCCAACACCCTTGTAAGGTCAGAATTACCAGCAAATTTACAACAAATTTATTTCATCTGGTTATATGACAGCATAAATAAATCAACAATTACTTTTTCAGCAAAACAGCCTTTAAGTCAAAAGATATCGCACGACAGAGCTGTAATGTTTCTGGACAAGCTACGCACAACAACAGTTTCAGAGTTCTTCGTTCCTCCAGTGCAGAAATGCCATATAATATTTTCTGGACTGCATGATGTAATTTCTAAGCTATACAACTTCGACCTAGATATACAGAAACTATATCCAGGTTCTAGTTTATCACCCAAGCTAATAGGAGAAACCAGATTTAACAGAGCAGTGATGCATCTATTGACACACAATTCAGTTTATGTACATACTAAATTTATACAGTGAATTAACTCTTGGCTTATTTGAGCTCCTACTTATTTCATTAGTGGCTGTAATCGTTTGCTTGATCACTTTCTGCAGTTTCATCTACAACAGCCCCATTTGCCTTCCAAAAAAACATTATTATAGTAGAAATCTAGTATTTTATTACATCTTTCAAAAACCTATCTATGTTTCAAAATCGTAAAAAACAACTCTCAGAAATGTATCTGTACCTTCAATGAGCTACTATTACCTAAACAAAATAATTGACTAAATATTGCTTATGAGTGAGGAAAAAGTAGTATCTAACCTCAATTACTTCAGTCAAATACAGGGAAACGTACTAGTATTACGCTTACAGGTGTTCCCTTAAAAGGTGACTGTCAGCCCTTGAGGATTAAATAAGACCAATCACCAAAACAATACCTAATGAAAGAGTTTAAGACAACTCAAGCTTAAGGCAACCTCTTCCCCAGGTTTTATAGACTTTCTTTACTTTTCTATTTTTGACCGATTATCACAGTCCAGGAGGGACATATGCTCGTAATGGGCATGGGAAAAGCCTGCTTAGGGTTTCACTTAAATTACTTCTCCAGTTTTTGTCTCACAAACATGAAATCGTTACTCCTTTCATTCATGAATTCAAGTTCAGGAACAAAATCAGGAGACTTACAGTTTAATGCATATCCAGCTTCAGAGTTCAAAGTCACAGAGCCTCACGTTCTCGTGGCCTAGGAGAGAAAGGGTATAATTCCGGTAAGAGCACACGGCCACATACACGGAGCAACTGCCTCAAAACCGCACGCTTACACCCAGAAGACAAGTCACCGCGTTAAATCCTAATTCACCTCTCTGGGCGCGCACGAAATTCATAGCTGTTGTGTCCCAGCGCTCCTCCTTCCCCTCCCGGGCGGCCTGGGAGCGCTCGGGCAGCGCCGCGGGGCTCGGGGACGGGGGTGCGAGAGAGGGAGGGGAGGAGGCGCCGCGGCATCCCCGCCACGGCACCACGCCCTGCGCCGGGCACAGCCCGAGCCCAACCCCGGCACAGCCCCGGCACAGCCCGGGCACAGCCCGAGCCCGGCCCCGGCACAGCCCGAGCCCGGCCCCGGCACAGCCCGAGCCCAACCCCGGCACAGCCCGAGCCCAACCCCGGCACAGCCCGAGCCCAACCCCGGCACAGCCCGAGCCCAGGCCGCGCTGCCCCGCCGCTCGTCCACCTGCCCACAGCAGCACCCCAGCAGCACCTGCCCTACCGCCGCACACTCAAACGAGGGAGCGGGGAAACACGACCATTAAAAAAAGCAAGCAAGCAAACAAACAAACAAATCCCTCACACCCCCCCCCCCCCCCCCCCCCAAAAAAAATCAAACCCCCGCACACACACACACACACAAAATCGCGAAAAAACAACCCCTCTTCATCTCTCTTTTTTTTTTTTTTTAATCGCCCACCAGAAAATGTGCTGCCGCTCGCTCCTCTCTTTGCCCGAGCGCCAGGAGCGATGACCGCTGAGCATCCCCCGCCGCGCCCGCGGCACTGCCCGAGCAGCGCGGCCGGAGCCTCCCCCGCAACGCCCCGCCCAGCACCGGCCCCCGCCGCCCCCGGGCACCCCGCTCGGCCCGCACTCGCCGCTTCCCGGCCGCGGGGTCGGCGCTCCGGGAAACACCGGGCTGTCCCAGGCGGCGGCGGCGGCAGCGCAACCCTCCCCTCCCCATCCCTCCGCTCGGCCCCCCGGGGAAAGGGAGCGGCCGCGGCGCAGCCCAGCCCGCCGGCAGGTACAGGGGAGGGCGGCGAGCGCGGGGTCCCCGCACCCTGCCCCGCCACTCACCGCTGCCCACGGCGGCGCCCGCTCCTTTGTCTGCCCGCCGCGCCCCCGCACCGCCGTGTCCCGCTGCCGGGCGCCCCGCGCCCCGTCCCCGCCGCGCCGGGGGCGGAGGAGGACGCAGCCGAGATCGGCGGAGGAGGAGAGGAGGCCGCTGCCGCCCGGCGGTCACATGCAGCGGGCGGGCGCGGCGCAGGCTCCCGGTGGCTCCCGGGGGGCCTGGCCGGCAGCGTCCGAGGCGAGCTCGGGGGCGAAGATGGCGACCTCGGCGGCGCGGGGAGGGAATCCCCAGCCCGGCCCGCTCCGCTCCGCGCTGCCGGCTGGGCTGGGCTGGGCTGGGCGCGCCGGGGAGGGGAGGGGACTGAGAGCGGCTGCCGCTGCCCGTCAGCGCTATCGCCGTGCCGCCCGCCCCGCTCCTCCCCCGCCGCCGCCGCGCCCTCAAACCACCGCCCGCCCCCATCCCGCCGCCCGTCCGAACTGTGCCGGCGCTGCCGGGGCGGGGAGGAGTAGCGGGTACCAGCTCACGAAAGCTGGTGTGGTTGTGGCCGGACCTCCGGCTCTCTGGCTTCTGACCTCCCTCTGTTGACAGCAGCAAACGCGCTCTGACCGTCAGTGAAATTTCCCCGTGCTACATCCCCGTGTGTCTCCCCCGGCAGTCGCTTCAGTCGGTGACAGAGAGGTGATGGCTCATCGTGGGTGCTCCACACCTGTGACTGGTTTACTGGTTCAAAATAGGTGCCACTGCGACTCTTGAAGAGAGCTGTCACCACTCTATTCCACCAGCTCATGTATTGTCTTTTAAAAATAAAAAGGAGGACGAAAATGCTAAAGCTGGCAACCATCACCCAAATATGAACTATGATGAATGCACAAGATTGGATATTCCTTGCTGGGTAGAGAAGTACAGCTCTACCCAGTGACCCGGTCAAGATGTGGCTCTCCACACAGAGACAGGTTGCCATCTCACCTGTGCACTACTTGTCCCAGTTTTGCACATCGTCTGTGGTTCAGTGGCATGAGTTAGAATGGAAAATGTGGCAGTGCTAATGAGTTGCCAGTAACCCGAATTTGGATATCACAGGGAAAGCAACTGGAGATACCAGCTGTGGAGTGGAAAATTTCCTGGTCTATACCTAAATCCACAAACTTGTATAAAATAGCATGAAAAGGATATCATACATATAAAAGATAATTAAAAACATTTTGATCTCTTTTTTCAGCCTGTATGCGTCACTGACATTTACACTTAACTAGCAATATAGGCTTCTTGGCTGACAACGTTTGGTTTTTATTATTTTTCCAGACTATTTTTTTACAATTTTGGACATTTTTATAAGAGGGCTTTGTGTCTGCTGAGGTACCAGATGTGCTTATGTCTAATTTGCCTTCAGAAGGACACGGTGTGAGGAGCGTCTGCATCAGGCATGCCCTACCACTGATCTCACCTTGCAGAGACAGTCACTAAAAAATTAGTTTCAGCTCAGTGCCCTGCCAATGGTGTTTCTGTTCCATATGTTTAAATGATGAACACCCTTATTTAAAGCACAGAATCAACGAGGTTGAAAGAGACCTTTAAGATCATCCAGTCCAACCATCAACTCAGCACGACCACCTTTGCCACTAAATCATATCATCCAGCACCAGACCCAAATGCCTCTTAAACACATCCGGGGATGATGACTCCATAACCTTCTTGGGCAACCTATCCCAATTCCTGACCACCCTAACAGTGAAAAAAATTTTCTAATATCTAGTGTGAATTTCCCCTGTCTCAGCTTAAGGACATTTCCTCTAGTCCTCTCACTGCAGGCAAGGTAGAAGAGATTGACCCTCATCTCACTGCCTCCTTTCAGGTAGTTGTAGGGCAATCGAGTGCCCCTGAGCCTCCTCTTCCTGAGACTAAACAAACCTTAGCTCTGTCAGCTCTTCTTAAGAGGTGGTTTCCAGACTCTTATCAAGCCTTGTTGCCCTTTGCTAGACAAGTCTTAGCACCTCATTGTCCTTTTTAAAGTGAGAGGCCCAGAAACAAATGCAGTACTCGGGGTGCGTCCTCAACAATGCCAAGTACAGGGGGATGGTCGCTGCCCTGGTCCTTCTGGCTACAGCTATTTTTGCTACAGGCCAAGATACCATTGGCCTTCTTAGCCACCTGGGCACACTGCTGGCTGATATGGAGCCAGCTGTCAAGCAGCACCCCCAAGTCCCTTCCTCAAGTCCCTGCTTGAGAACAGCTCTCAAGCCACTCCTCCCCAAGCCTGTTGCACCGCTTGGGATTGCTGCAATCCAAGTGGAGGACCTGGCACTTTGCCTTATTCATACCTGCAAAGAGCAGCTGCAACGGTTATTTCCACTCTGCTGAAGATTTTCATTACTGTTAATGGACTTTACTTCACAAGAATCCTGTGATGTAGAGAAAGTATTATTATCCCCACCTTCAAGATGAGAAATTGCAGCACAAAGAGGCAGTATAGCTTGCCCCGGGTCATACATATAGGATGTGGTAAAACCAGAAACTTAATCCAGCGTTTGAGTGAAGATCAGTCAGTCTAAACCACAAATTCATTTTCTTTCTCAAGCTCTGTTTCTCGGGACTCCAATCCTGAAAAATTATTGGGAGAAAGAGCAAAGCAATATTGGAGAAGACACGCTACAAGAAGTTCTGTTGAACTTGTGCAAAAAAATAATGTGTAGTTGAATTGAAATGTTGAGAGTAGGCATATTTACACAGAAAATGTCAGCAGAAACATCATCTTGGTTTTTTAAGCGTACAAACCAATAAGGCGAACGCGATGAAATGTGTTGATTCAATATTGTATATTTAAGATATGTGATGTAAGAACTTCCAGCTTTTATTGGTCAAATTTCATGCAGGAGCAGGCGAATTGGAGAAACATCACAGAAATCTTTGACCAAAGCACCTAACACAGTAATGATATCCTGAAGGATTATCCACTTTACAAGTACCATTATACTCCTTTAGAGTCGTGGGATTTTCATCAAGCGCTGTGGTAACACGTGGCTTGAACAATTCCTCTCAAGGAACAAAGTGCCTGCACCCACAGTCATCCGTGTTAGATGGTTCCAGTACAACTTCAGAATTTCAGGCATCCCCACTGTCACGTGCCTCCACACACACTAGTGTGCCCAAAGGGACGTTGTGTAGCCAGTAGCATAAACCACTGAGAAGACAACCTTTTCAAACCAGGTCCAGCAGCAGAGTCAAAAGATTCATCTACGTTGTGAAAGCATGTGCCAAACACTTGTCAGAAGACAGTCATGTGCCAGGCTGCTTCTGGCAGCAATGGTACCTATTCTGCCATTGTCACTAATAAAGTACTAATCATGTTGTGTGTGAGAACAAACTGTGTATAGAGCCAGCCATGCTTACAAATAAGCTCAGTCAAGCCTTCAGTAGACTGAGCTGAGTTGGACAAATATGCTCTGACCAACAGTTTTTGTTCTGCTTCATTATGGTTAGTTCCTCAAAGGCACAGTCATGGTGCTTTTACCACTTTCCAAGTATCTCTCTTGTGTCTTTCTGACTAAATACTGACCCTTCTTCTGATTTCTTTCCCCAATGACAGTCTTGCCCATATTACTGTCTATTTTCACTAATTACTTCTTCCATATCCAGAGCTGGGCAAGAACTTTTTCTTTCAAAAACCTCTTCCTCTCCCGCTGTTCTCAGGGCCTCAGGCCAAAGCATGAAAAAAACCAATCAGGCAGAAATAAATCAATATTCATATGAAGCTTTGATGGTAAACAACATTATTCCCACCTTGTGGGCCAGAGTGTTTCCCAGTTAGCATACCAAACACAACAAATAGAAAAATCCATCGTTGCTGGCTTTGATGGTGTCTGTAAAAAAAAACCTAAAAAAACCCCAAACCAAAACCAAACAAAACCAAACAAACAAAAAACCGCAAAAAAACCCCCCACAAAAACCCTCAAACGAACAAACAAAAAACCAAAACCAAAAAAAGATTGATTATAAAAGGGAAAAATTACCTTATAATTCCAAATTTAACATTATGTTGTTCCCTCCTTTGAATGAGCAATACAACAAACGTGTTAGCTGCGACTAAATAATAGTGTGTGGGTACAACACTCATAAACTCCATGAGTTTCCTCTATTTCTACTGTAGCCACATACAAGTCAGTGAAGGTGTTCACCAGCAATTACAAGTGGTAATTGTTACTCACTGAGTTGCGTTAGCTGACCATACCTACATTACTTACCTGTGGCAACTGCGTACCTTCATACCTTCATGGGGAATCTTTTCATGGGAAGGGCTGTTAAACATCGGAATGTACTGCCCAGGGAGGTGGTGGAGTCACTGTCCCTGGAGGCATCCAGGAAAAAACTGGGCATGGCACTTAATGCCATGGTCTAGCTGACAAGGTGGTGACCAGTCAAAGGTTGGACTCAATGATATTGGAGGTCTTTTCCAACCTAAATGACTCTGTGAGTGTGTGATTCACGATGGTAGCCTGGGCAAACATGTTTTGTTTCGCAGTTGCCACAGGCAAGGAACCAGGAATACAGCCTGTTCTTGTGGCTCAGCTAACAAGAGGCAACGTGTTATGCTTCGCTTGTTCAGTCAGTTGTAAGAGTCTGTCCATGGCCAACGCAGAAGGTGAGTCCAGTCACAGCCACCAGCTTTAAGAGGAGCTCAGCCCAGTGAGTGGGGGTGGTGGGGGCAGAGAAGAAGGGCTAACTTCTTTCTTGTCTTCTTTTATGGTAAAAGAAGAAGCTGGTGGGGATATTCACCTTCCGCTGTTTCTCTAATTGATTCTTCTCTGTGAACAAGACAGGGTAAGGAAAAAACTTGCTGTTTTTTCCAGAAGAGTAGGAGTTTCACCCAGAAGTCCCAGCAAAGTCTCTGAATCTGTGTGCATTTTGGATACAAGTCCCTCTATGTGGCCCAATAACTGCCCATGTGGAAGCTGATGCACCATACCTGCTCCCTGAAGGCCTTGCAGGTACCATATGTCTTTTTCTGAATTGGAACCAGAGACCTGAAACACAGAGGTGCTGCTTCACCAAGTAGTGTGAAGCGGATTTACCTCTCACCAAGCAAGTGTGGAGGGAGAAGAAAAGAATGTGTGCCCTCTTGGCTCAGTAAGTTCTCACTCAACATGTAAAGACCTGAGCAAAGTAGCTCAGAGCTTTTCTGCATAATAAAAAGAAGATCCTTAAACAAAAGAAGCTCACCAAGTGAAAATCCAATGGGATTTTCTCAGATATTAGTACTGTTTCTATCAGAAAGGAACTTTGCTAAGTAGCTGCAGTGATATAGTTGCTTCACAGTGAGCATGCAATGAAATATC